AGGTGGACAAACCACGCGATCAATCCACCGCCAATATACATTGGTAATGAAAGATACAGTACTTTCTTATCACATGCCCATAGGTTGTTCTTTTGGCTTCCATCATCACTAGATCTTGCAGACCAGGCCAATTGTAGAAGACGAAATTCCAGTAAGAAGGCTACCATGGTTATTACCCTCACTAATACCTCGTTAACTTCAAGCCATCCATCGCTATCGAAGTAGAAATTCACGGTGTTGCGGCTTATGAAGAGAGCTTCGAAATTCAACAATAGAGGGATCAAGTGTCCTAGAGTGAGCACAATCAGCATTATGACAGAAATCGAGGGCAGTACATCTGCATGTCTTTTGACATGCAGTAGCTGCAGACCAAGGAAGATGCACGAAAGTGTGCTGGAAATCAGAACCATCGTAATCTCCAGATCCATTCTCCATATGGACTCTTTGGCTTGCCCTGAATAAATTGAACGTGAAAGAATTTCAAAAGATTCGAAATAAAGACGGTCAGACTTGTCTCTTGTGCTTTCAATAGTTCCCTTCACAGGATTTACATTTCTCGCATTCACTGGAGGATAGTGAATGTCAACCAGAATCTCACAATCCATCGATGACGATGAGTTCCCCCATCTTGTCTTTTTAGGTGTGACAGCGACATACATACAGCCAGTCATGCAAAGATGACCTCTTTCAGAATCATAGGTCCCTTCAGCAGAAATTTCAAATGATTTGATTTGCATGTGTTCACTGCTGAGCTTGAAATCATGAGAAGATGCGAGGCTCAATACATAGCTGACATTAATCACACTAAGGTTTTGCTTTTCTTGCCAAGAGAAATCAGCTTCCTCTCCAAAAATAGTCGATAACTGATAAAGCCTACTATCCACAAAAAGTGGAGATGAGTAACCCCAAAGGTCATTCACTTTCTTGTTTGTGACAAGCATATCAAACCTCATATCAGATGATAATGCATTAGGATATTTCCCTCCCTCTCCCTTCTGCATTGTCTTATTCGCACATGATCTCTTTGTATTCTCGATCTCCATGTACTCATAACCCAAACCAGCTGCCCTGATGTTCTTATTTTTTGTACTTGAGAAAGTAACTCTGCCAAAATAGCCAGCCTCATTAACACTTCTACTACTCCATAATTCCCCCATCACAGAGCTTCTGTTTCTCAATGTCCACGTAGAAGGAAATCTCAAACTTAGTCTTATCAAGCACTCCCCAACAAAACCCTCATCCCAGTCACTAAAAATACGGCAGGCAACCATGTTAAGACGCCTTTTCTTCCGATCCCATCTCCCTTCGCTAACCAAAGTCACGTTTGGTTCAAAATTCAACTGATATCCATTGCGCCCAAAGTCCCCAAACGCCAACAAGAACCTCACTCTACCATCCTCCAAACACTCGATTTTATTGAAATTCATAACACTTGGCGTGAAATTACCATTTCCTTTTCCAAGAAAATTGCAATTCACACTGTTGCAATCGTTCTGATACTCCAGTTCAGCAATTCCAGCAGATATAATATATCTACATACCCTCTCCCCCGAATATTCTACTCCTAAAGAAACATTTGTCATATCATCCAACAATGAAAAGCCATTGATTTCACTTTCTTTATCAATCAACTCGTACCTATAATTCCTCAAATTCACCCCCAATATTGATACCGATTTCAGATCAAAACCACTTTCACTGTTTACATCTAAGCTTTCCAACGTGCCATTGACTAAACTAGAGAATATACTCGAAGAATTCAAATAATCAAGCTTTAAAACAACATGATTAGAGCTTAATCTGCCAAACCCTGTCCCAACCATACAAAGCTTCCCTGAAACCGAATCCCAAAATCCACCCAACGAAAAACTCAATGAATTCCGCAATTCACCTGACGTCAGCGGAATCCGAGGTGGCCGGAAATGCACAAGGCGCAATCCCCTGCGAGTGGAATTGCGAAAGTAGCCAATACGATTAATGCTCAAGATCGCATCGATTTTGAAGACTCCATCCTTCTGGGTTTTGAACGCTTTCTGGGAGAAGAAGGAGAGAGACCTGGGAATTGAAGAAACATCCTTGTTCCCATCGTTTACACTGTAATAAACGTGGGCGCGGCGAAGAGAGAGAAACCTAGGGCTGGTGATCGGAGGATTAGGGTTTGGAAGTAAGGGTGGATAACGCACGAAGTCGTTGCAATGAGCGGAGTAAGAGATTTCTACGGCGGCGGCGGAGGTAAGGGAAAAAAGGAGGATGGCCGTGAACGAGAGAGCGGCGAATCGCGGAATCCATTCGAGCAATATCGGAGTTATGTGGATTTCAGGAGGTGGAGAATAGGTAATCTCCATAGATGAAGGAGATTTTGAATCTGTATTTTGAGTTCGGGGAATTTAACTCACCGCCTGCCCTCTCTCTCTCTCTCTCTCTCTCTCTCTCTCTCTCTCTCTCTCTAGCTTTCAAAAGTCGTGTCGGTTTAATCGAAAAGTCGCAATTGCATTTATTTCTTAAAGTTGACCTTCCCTTAATTAATCCCTTCGGTCTCGATGTTTAATAGGTAATTGTTGGATTATTAGGCCCAAATGAATTAGTGAAATCCGGCCCATTAGACACATTAATACTCAAAAACTAGTAGCCCAAAGTTCAAGTGGGAAATCTTGACCGTTGGTTCTCTGCTTTAATCATCACCGCCCACTCGAGAGTGTATTAATATTAGCAATCAGCGGGAGTTCTTCAAAATGGCCTACCCAACTCGGATAATTAAGTTTTTTTTTTTTTTTGATAATTCGGATAATTAAGTTAACAACATTAACATTAGCAAAAAAAAATAAAACTCATAAATTAGTAATTAATTAATCAATTGACTTTAATGAATATTACGAGTAGATCGTCTATTAAATTTTGGATTAATTCACCGAATGTAGCATAGGTGGTAGAATTGACCTAAATATATCATTAGGGGTGATATTAAAATTAAATATTATAATTTGGGCACTAAAACATATTTATACTTCAAATTGCTTTAATAATTTTTTTTTTTGTTTTGATCCAAACAGTAGCCTTGCACACATAAAGAGATTAAATACTACTGTTTTGCGTTGTGCTGAATTTTGTTAACCAAAAAATATTAGTACGGTCCTGGGTGAAATACACGGGATAGATGTTTATCATTCATAAACACACAAGCACACATCTACCAAATTCCCTCTATAAGTCAAGAATATATAGGTATTGACTATTGAATATAGACATATTTGAATAATAACGAAAACACAAAACACAAGTTAAAACTTGAAAGAAACCAAGCAAAACCTATCAAAGTGATAACCACCAGTGTACACATCTCGCAGTTAATAAACAAATTATAAGGAGTAAAAAAGAACAATCTTCAATAAAATCCATTAGACAACGAGCCTACAACACCAAAATCAAGAATAAACTCGGTATTTAGTAAACACCATGACTTTTTCAAGGAAAACGTTTACTCGAAACAAGTCCACATTATTTCCACTACTAAATACAGAACCTCGAAACTCAATTTGCCAATCCTACAACAAAGTGATTTGTGGCCCTTTCTTTTCATGAAACAGCCCTTACTTACAACGGCTAACTAATAAGAACGTAAATAAAGTAAAAGCGTCTCAAATAGAAGCCACATGCAAATTCAAATGCTATTTCAGCTTTCAGCTCTTGGGCAAAAATGGGTAAGAAATGAAACAAGAAAAGGTCAGGACTAAACGAGACGTGTTCTTAAAAGTAATTGAAAAACAGCCTACCATTCTGAGCTCAGAAATATTTATTACGCTTCAACAGCCACCTTTTCTTTCTTTTCTTTCTTCTCTTTCTTCAAAGGTGTAACCGGTTCTGGCTTCTCGATCCCTTGTATATCCGTAATCCTTAACTTAGTTAATTCCTAAAAACAGGGGTATCAGAAAATATTACGAGCCAGACAACAATACTTAATCTTTCGTTGGGAAATCGATGAAAACAAGATATATCTGATAGTAATCTCATGTCAATTACCTGACGATGACCTTTCGTTCTTCTATAGTTCTTTCTTCTTTTTTTCTTGAATATGATCACTTTTGCATCTAGGGCCTGCAAAAAGAGAAAGGCACAAACTCAAGTAAGACAAAAGATCAAATCTACTACATAGAGGAGGTGGAAACTTAGCAACATTTTCTGGATGATGGAATGATATGTTCTTTCATGTTACCAATGCCCAATTATATATCTCAGTAACTTAACTTGGACGTATTGTAACAATAAATAAATATCTCAGTTCACTTCTTTAGTTATTTAATTAAATGACTATTTGAACAAAGTGCTCTATTCAGCTAACCATTTAAATCACAGAAGAAATTATAGAAGTGGCAGAAATTATCAAGTACCATAATTCTTTGCCATCTCACCTAGTTACATAATCAAAAGCAGGTTCCTAATACTGATAAGTTACAGATGATAGAAAATATATTGATTAATAGTTTATATATCTTGAACGTGCACAACTCTGCGTTTTCTACTTAACTCCATCCGCACATTTCATAGTATAACAAGTCAAGAATTACTTCAGTTTCAAAAATATGTAAGAAAATCATACATAACCCATCCTCATTCGAGCTGCAAATAAAGTAACAATAATCTTAAATTAATCTTACATGCTCCTCGACAACAGCATGAACAGCTGCATCAGGCAAAATTGGCCGACCAATGATTGTTTGCGTCTCTGAACCAAGCATAAGAACCTTATTGAGGACCAACTGCAAGAATAACAAGAATCATTCACCAGATGAACTGGACAATTTTTTTTCATCAATATCAATGATGTCAAGTTAAAGTCGTTGACATGCCGAACTGGTTCTGTCATGAACATCAGAAATAAGACTGATGGATTTCTAAATGAACCTTTACTTGCAAAAACATTCCATAAGAGTGGGTTAACAATAAATGGTTATATGAGAAGAGCTGGCCAAGAGATATGTGTACTCAGTATAGACATTAAACTAATTTGCGGATAAGTATCATAGACTATGAGAGATTGCTTTAACAACCAGCCCATGAAGTCCGAGAGACAAAAATGTGAAATTCAGTTTTACTACACATGAGCTTTACGAAAATGTAAAGGGGAAATCATGATTTAAGGCACCTTATATATGGACTGAGTTGAATTGTCCATAGCCCAGTCCCGACGCAAATTTTTAAATCTTGATGAATTGATTTGAATATATACAGGTCAAAATATATGAAAAAATTAAAATACAATGGAACTTTCGCTGTCTTCGAAGTTTCATATAGAGAACATCTGAAATCACAATCCCTAAGAAGATGAAATGAGGGGAACAACCACAGCCATGGAAGCACTACAGCAACACAAAAAAGGCATCCATAATTCCAGAAATTTTTTTAATCCAGAGCATTTATAAACTAATCATTTCATTTCATGAGCTAATCAATTCACATTTTATAGCAACAAGCTCATGAAATTGTAACACTGACCTTGTCATTAATATCACAGTACTTCAGCCTCTCTACGTATATGCTATCACGGTTGCACACCTTGAATTGATGCGATCCAATCTGAATAATTCAAAACAGGGAAATTCCACCCCCCAAAAAAAAAAATAGTTAAAATACTATTTCAATCAAAACAAAACCCCCCAAATACATTGAGATTTTGACCTGAACAACTGCAAACACAGGCTCGTAAGGTTTGAAAACCCGATCCGACCGCTCAAGCGGACCAACAACCGAGTACCCGATTTCAGCAGCCTCCTGTAATTTTTCCTCTTCTGACATAACAACGCTCTGGCGATTACTCCCAGTTTCCTCTCCTTGGCTTTCGTAATCCCCATCTTCATCGTCATCTTCATCCTCAGTTTCATCTTCATCGTCGTCTTCTTCATCATTCTCACTATCAGTGTGCTTCGAGGAAAAATTCCGGGCGAACGAGGAAGGATCTCGGAAAGCCGTCAAATGGTTGCCCAATCTGTGATTAGCGGGCTTCTGGACGACGATTCGGTGGAGGTGGGTTGGGGTACGGGCTATGGTCTGAGACAATGACGTTAGGGATTTGAAGGAATGGAGGCAGCGACGAAGAGTCCGAGAGGAAAGTCGACTCGCCATTGATGCGTGTGCGAATTTCTTCTTTCCTTCGCAGGGTTTTGAGAGGTGTTTCTGGTCTAGGGTTTATGGTGTACGAGTTAATTTGGGGTTAATGTCATTTTCCCCCCATGTATTTTTAACTCTTATCATTTTATCACTTTGTATTTTATATATATATTCTTATATACTGTTGAAATTATTAAATTTGCTTGTTCCAGAATTATGAAATTACTTTTTTACTCATATATTATGTATTACAAATGTTTGCTACTTTGACATATTCGTATAGCTCAACTCGTTCTGGAGAAGATAATTTGTGCAATACCCTACAATCGAGTATCGACAGCGGCAATGCGAGAATTTCATATGTAATAGATTCATTTAGAAAAATCATTAGTGCTTACTTTTTGAATTTAGCATAATTCTTGTAGTTTGATTAATAGCAATTTATTAATATATAAATGAAATATTGGATCTCATACATATAGTCTCACAAGTAATTGTAAGAATCATATAATACAACAGAAAATCTCAATATACATTATGTATATCTACATTGAAAAAAATAGATAAATATAACAAAGAAATAAAAAAAAAAAAGGTAAGGATGTTGTATGTAAAATATAACTATTAATTCTAATCTTGCACAGTTCCTAGCTCCGCAACTAATAAAATAAATTTTAATTTTTTTTAAAAAAAGAAAAAGGAAGGAAAGTAATAAGAATCTTTACCTAGACAAAATTTTAATCAGTATTTTAATCTTTACTTCCAGTATTGACTTTCCGGTGCCGCTTTGACTTTCGTTCTTTTGCTCGTCTTGCAGTTACCTTCCTCACCGGAGTAATATTACTTAACATGGTGTCAGCAGAAGTGTTGACTGTAATAATTGGTGGTGGAGGTGGAGACCAGTGCTCAAGCAAGTCTCTATGGTAACCCTGCAGCAGTGTTGTAAATATACAATTAAAACCCATACTTCGACGAGCAAACGGGTTAAGAAAACGAGGGTCGATTTTATCCTCCCTGACTTGAATAATTACAAGATTACCTGTACAACGAAGTTGCGTCTTTCGCAATCCAAGAACATGTTGATAGTGTAATTAGTCTTGGACCTGATCTTGTCTCTAACAGTGGAAAAACTTATTTGATCTCTGGATGTAAAACGGTCTACTTCATTGAACCAGAGACACGTGAAGAGGTTCGAGATTGGGATGTGCTCCCTAATTATTACACATCCTTCCGGAACATCTGGACACCAAAAAACATCAACGACCGAGAAATTTTAAAAATAAATGAAAAATAGGCAAATGCCCTACCACTAGTAATCGGCAGTTTTGCAGTAGAATATGTTGTTAAACCCTCGTTCTTGTAAAATTCAATCTGGAAATCGATGGAAGCGTTGTCGTACTTCCCAGCTGCCTTATTAGCTTCTGCTTCTTCGAATACATCGAAACGCTTGTAATGCCTTGATATTGCAAAACTCGCGTTTTTCCTCCACAGAAACCTGCCAGGACCAAAAAAAAAAAAGAAAAAAAAAAGAACAAACAAACAAACAAATCTTCATCTAGAATACATTTTCAAGAATCTGATTAATCATGGAAGTGTATATGTAATAAAAGTGAATCTACCTTTCAAGAATCTGAATTGGATCAACAGCCAGCTCAAGTTTTGCATCAACCCACAGAGAATAACGGGCTTTGGGAAAAAGCCGATGAAGCAGTAGTTTTGGAACCTGCCATGTCAACAGCAGACGACAAAGAATTAATACAGAAAAAATAGATCTCCACTGTAAAGATTATAATCTCCGAAGCAGCACTTTTGAGTGAAAAATTGAGTGCTCAAATGCTGATAGCATTTGCTGGAGGCAAGGCGTCAATAGGCGTATGATGAAATTAAGGTGATTTTAACAGCTATTTCTTTAAAACAATGGTTCTTTTGAAAAAACTGTAGAATGCTATAATAGTATCAAAAGGCAAAAAATATTGCTGTCACAGTTTAGATTTGCAGTGGCACTTGAGTTCATCACGGTAATATATACGCAAGCATCACTGACTTATCTACAGGCATCTACATTAGTAGGTTATATTCTAGCTTAG